GAAATCATGCATGAATGCAACGTATGAAACAATTACAATGAAACGAATGGACTGACCTGGTGGTAAAAACTTTCGAAACAAACGAAATAACTAATTTTAACAGAAACGGAAACAATAATGAAGTAAAACGGAACATTTGTAAACAATATGCATCAATATGCAGTTGTGAATAACTGCTGGATAAACGGAAAAACCAATGTGTAAACGAACAGCTACGGAACTACAATCCAACATGGCCGACTAACATGGACGAAAATGACCTCTCCATAAATGACCTTGTACGTGACGTTTAATTTCTGCCCAAAAGACAGAATTATGAGTAAACTAATACTTGGATACAATTATTCTAACGTAACTGAATAATATTAATAATATTTACTTAGCCTGTCAACAAGCCGTTCACTCTATCTTAATTCAAAGACAAGTTTAGTTGCTCCCTAAATTAGTAGTTTCAGGAGACTGCTCTACTTCTGCCTTCGAAATACTTTGCCCGATCGTGGTTTACTTCAAAATATGTGAATACTGGCCAGTTATACTGTTATTCAGTTACACTGTCCCACCTATGTTCCTATCAGTCAAAGCATCCCTTAAACTACCAAAAAGTTACCATCAACTCTAAATAAATAACCTTAATTATTCTCATGTAAACGATGCTAATAACTTTATTACTTACGTGACGTTCCGACTTCCGAATAATCAATTTTCCCTTACATGAGCACCTGTTTCAATTTTAATGGATAGTTCTAACCTTTGACTACGTTTCGTTATATACTATCCTTCCAAAATGTATGTGCAGATAATAATTACTTCTAACAAACTGAACACGAGAACAAGAATGTACTACATATTGACGACAATATAACTCAAAGGCAAACGTCTCTTCTAAATGCACTATTCAATGCAACACATGACCTCAATCTCTCAAACTATGTAGCCCACAGCATTTTAAAAAGTTAATATTCACTAATAACAAGTAGAGGGTTAGGGAATACACTTGTTAGTCATTTAACACGGAACACAAAATCAACGATACTTCATCAGCGAACCCATGAGGTCGCCGAAGTTACTGCGTAGCCAAAATCGAGGGTTCACAGGATGTATGCATGAACGTAAGTATTGATATAATAATCAACGAGTCAACACAGTAAGAATTACTAGAGGTTTATATCAGTGTGCGGTTACATCAGTCACTATTTTTGACACCGCTGGATATTTAGACAAAGCAATAAGACGCAATTTGCCTGAAACGTGTAATGTTGTATTTGCGCAACACATTTCTAACAATCTGTTCACACACGGACTTGTCATAGGAATATATATGAAATTAACAGAGTTAAGGGGTGAGAAAAAAATTTAGGTCGAGTTAAAAGGACATATTTTAGGTCAAAATAACAGTGATCATTAAACCAAATAACAGAGATAATAGTACATCTGCCGTGACTGGTATCGAAACAAAGTTTACAAAGGAAGGCAGTTTCAGTGTGATGACGAATTGTTTTTGAACACTTAAAGGTGATTCAAATTTCTCAATTGCCAGCTGAGGCATCCACGGACTTTAGGATACGCCCCAAACACGTTTTATAGATAGATTTAAAAGATGTGTAAACGTCAATTTTATGCCCTGTCTCTATAATATGTTTCGCGGTAGAGGAGCTAGGTCTCTTGTAATCACCATCAATGGGTTCTGAAGATTCTGTTCGCTTCTGAGGACATTTAAGAATATGCTCTGAAGCCCTTACTTGCAGACACTGATGAGTCCTCCCTAAGCGGTTATAGCAACTGTTTCTAAACCTTACGTCAGTAGCTTCAATAAATGCCAAACACTGCGTCTACAGAATTCCAAGATAATCCTGCGAATCGTCGTTGTACAAACACACATAATATAGCTTCAGGATAATAACAAAAAGAAGTAAGTCTATGAAGGCAAACTCAATAACAGGTCAAAATGGCGCACACCTCAGATGTCTTTACGTACCTGATCACAGTGTTATTCAAATCCATCAAAGTACTTGAATACGTTGTAGTGTGCATCTATTTCAGTTAAATTTTTGGCAGAAAACAGCTATTGCTGCAAGTGTTCATAAAATATATCGCAGTTTTTCCTCATATATTAACACCGATCTTTGCTTGCATCTATGGATTCCATTGACTTTTAGTAATAAAAAACTACCCAAAAGTGCAGAAGCACGAATTCGATATCAACCACATTCTTAGTTGCCTCCAACAGAAAAAGGTACCTCAGGACAGCTAGCCGGATAATTTACAACCAGTTACAGGTTAGCAGCAAAGCGATGTTTCTAAATTTAGCCGTCGAAATGTACGCGAAGCATTCTCGGCATACAAAATAATCACTGCATGGAACATATGTTTAGGCGTCCTGCGGCACAAACATTACGTAGATGATGAAGAACATCATCAAACAAAAATTTTCATATAAATTCACCCAACAAGAACCAAATAAGCGCCGAAATCACATCAACTGCATTTTCCTGGACATCTACCCTAACCCGAATCAACTAATCCGCGCGAATTCCGCCAAGGTGAAGCCGGTGGCGCCATTTCAAATAGGGGATATGCCATATGATCGCCCATAAAATAAGTCAATTTTTAGGAAAGGGCAACACGGTGATACATCACAAACCTGTTAGAGGTCAACATTTATCATAATGATCTACATCAGAGTGAAGATCTTACCTTATGTTGCTGAAGTCGACCGTGACGAAAGTGCCTTTTAACGGGGGAGATTCCTACCATCACCATTATGCCGACATCGCAGCAAATGATGAATCACACAGCAGACTGACTGAGATTGTCAGAGTTAACAGAATAGAGCTGACTCTTGGTTGATAAAATGTCATGATAGGTATCCCGGTGTGATTAATATCGCTCCAATACTTAATAATTTATATTTCGTAGGAACAGGTGAGTTTACATAAAGTGTATGACATCTTTACAGGCACAATGAGACACGGTGTAAACGGCAGTCGTAAAATATAAATAAAGTAGCACTTTTTCATAAGTTTAAATTGTTGCAGTGTAGTACAAGCTATCACGCTTGGTTCGCATAGATGTTAAATTGTAAACCCTTCAATGTGGTCGCTGTCAGAGCAGAGAAGCAACGCGAACTTCATTTCTTTTCTTGATGATAGTTATAGTCAACCAAACAACAGTCTGTATATGGGTTAGTTCTATGTTCACACATGATTTAGTGCTGTTCCAGGGAGAGAAGGATATCCTGAGAAAATTAAAGACGGCATAAAACACAACTAAGGGTAACATGGCCCCGCCTAGTTAACTATCTTGCCAGTTTTTCAGCCAGTCCCAAGCCGGGTAAAGAGGGAGGGTTGCGTGTGAGGCTAGCAACCCTACACCACTCAACCTATTAAATTGCTGCAGAAACTTCAACGCACAGACAATATACTGAAAATATAATAAGGGTAAAATATCGTTGGAAGTATATTTGAAAGATATGTACACGAAGGAACTATAGAGTCGCTAGACAGATGTATGAATTAACAGGGCATAGAACTGAACACACGGGATTTACCGACGGAATGTCATCAAGTATCGATGCGTGTGGTGACTTAATGGAAAGCAAATATCATGAAAGCTATTAATGTACAGCATACCGTATGACCGGGACGGGCTAACAGCAATGCAACGCTGCAACTACAGTTAGTGCCAAAAAATATCTCAGGGCTTAACATCAAAAAATGAGGGAGGGTGGCGCATGCTGATCGGCAGATATGGTGGTGGTCACAAATGTACACTATCATTCAAAGGAGTCTCCAGCTCCCTCTTGTATATATCTTGTAGGTGTACTTTCAGTGATGTATCATCCATAGTTGTATTTTACACCTTTTGCAGTTTCCCAGGATGTTATCCTCTTTCTGAAATAGCTTCTAATCAAGTGGCGGCACAGCACTTACCCAAATATACCCTGTTCACTGATTGACTATAACTATCAACAGCAAACGGAATGAAGCTTGAGTTGTCTTTCAACTCTGATGGTGACCTCAGCTAACGGCTTACAATTTAACATTTATACGAACCTGTTCTTACTGCTTGTACAATAATCGAACAATTTGAACCTTAAAAAATTTTAGTTTATGATACTTCAGGATTACAATTTATAGCATAACTGATCGTGCCTGTAAAAATGGCATGCATCCCTTGTAAACACCAGTTTATACGAAGAATATACTTGGGTTCAGTCAAAACATACTAGTCGTTTATAATTTGACATTAGGTAAAGTTATGCTATACTTACTTTCGCGGAGAACTTTAAAACTTTTTCAACTTCAACTCAGGTTCTAAATTTTCCAGTTCGACTCTGGCCGTGCTGTCTTCGCTAGACTAACTCATGGATTGTTGCTCCATAGTGGATAAGATTTTATTTTGATAAATCATACAGTGTTGCCCAGTTATATTAACTGATGACGTTTCGAGCACAAACTATTGCTCATAATTATATCAAGTTACTCACACAACTTCTTTCCTTCATTTATATACATGGAATAAAATTCAGCATGAGATAATGCACATTCAGAAATAATAGTATGAGTGTTATTAATCCATTATAATTAGATGGGAAATACGATGAGTGTTTTTATAGTCATAATAAGTTATTTGTTAGAATGTGTTTGAATTGAAATAGAATTTCGAGATTATTTATTATCCTCTTCTGGAAAACGATTGAGGTAAATGTTCTGGTGTCTTGCTCTCTCGGTGTTCATCTCCTTTGCCATTCTTTCTAGATAAAGATAAAAGCTGGATACTGTATAGACATATTGATGAAAGTGACTACAAGTTGGCGTGTTAGATGTTAAGTTACGTATCACCAACAAGTCAACAGAAGGATAGTTTTCATAATAATACAGAGTTCAGAGTTGAAAAAACTGTAGTTTTGAAATGTTGAACCTTCCATTGTATTTTTTCACTCGTAGATTTCGACCCAGGTAAATAAAACAGTCTCTCGTTTTCCTAACAGCTATTTAAATATGTATCATTTTTGTTATTGTTCATCACTGTATATTAAGTTTAGTATCAACTCTTGGCGCGTTGTTTCTCTGGCACGTTATTTTCCGCTCATTTACGTTAATTGTGAGTGTCTTTGATTTTTGAGTCTTCCATTTTTGTGATAAAAATCATTGTGGTATTCGGATATAATTTGTGCATTTTCTGTTAGTTAAGAACGATTTAACTGCATATAATTGCATTGACATATACAAGGTATGAAAATGCATCTTCATACCATGATATGCGTCGTATTGAGTTAGGTGCTTAACTGTTTGAAAATGGTAGACAGAACTCAAAGTCTTTTCGTACTGCGGAACGTTTTTCTGCCTGTCACAGAGATTGGTGGACATTCCCTAGGACACTCGTTTGACACACAAAAAATTTCATTACGATCCAGCTGTAGCCCACGGTAACCCGCCTATTAATAACTTTAATACATGTCGGACCAAGTATTATAAGACAGAAGAATATAATTTGGAAGTTTTTCCGAGGAGTCGTCAGGCCAAATATCACTCCCAGTGTTCTGGTACCCTACCATGGAAATAGAAAGTCGTAATGCATCTTCTCAAATCCCCTCAAATATGCTAGTGACCGAATCGACAAGCTAGTGTATTAACCCTCACGAAGGTTGTTTAACATCAGCGAAAATTTATTCGTTTCTAGTTTGGTGGCTCCTGAAAAATTCTAGATACTGTGTTCACCGGATCACTCAGGTGTATATTGGCTCTAACCCACATTATCTGCATTAACTGCCTTCTTATCAAGTAAACTGACGGGGAGAAACTTTTCACCTGCTTACTTGGAACACCTTCGCAGTAATATGAGAACAGTATGTGAGTACTGCGGTATATGATAATTCCAAAATATTATGATTCTATCTGGTACAGCTCACAGTGATGCAGTATTACTTTTAATGTCCTACCAGAGACAGTGTAAATCCCAGACGTATCTACTCATATGAAATGAAGAATAATTTAACGACAGTCAGACAGAAATTGGTGAAAATATGATCATTCGTATCAGTATAGCAATCACCATAGCTCTAAAGCCCTCTGAAAAAAGATCACTGCTTATCCTTAACTTAGTTGCAGGATAAAGTTACGCACTGAGAAAAGAATTAAGAATTCAGTCATGTTTCAGGTGTACGGACTTTGAATTGGAAGGGAAGGGAAAGCGGTGGAGTTATCGATATCCTATCTTATGAGATAGCTGGGGAAATGTAGCTGTTAAAACACTTAATCCTACATCAAATACATGGTAGAGGCGTGCAAGCGATACTTTCACTGTTTTCAAAAAGGAACACTTCCCTATTTTCACCACACAAAACTCTATAGTGGGTAGTTTCAAATTTACTTTTGATCTAGAAAATGAGTAAGAAAATTCAGCTATGTTTGATCGCAAAGTGAAACGAACAAAAGTTAACAGCTAGTGTCCATAAAAGCCATCATACTCTACTAGATATTTAGATTTTTGGTCCCGTTATACTTTATCACTAGAAGTGGGTTTAGTTAAGTGCCTAAGCAACCGGGAAAGAATTCTAATTTGCACACCAGAAAGCCAAAATGAGGAAGTAAAACAGAAGAAGCGTCGTTATTAAGTATTTATCCTGAAGAATTAACTAGAATGTTCCAGGAAACACAAAACAAAAGAAGAAATAGTATTAGAAGTATTCCTTGTAATGCAAATAAGAAAGAATTTAAGACAATCTTGCAACATAAAAAAGGAAACTCTACTTAGAATTCTGACTAAATCGGAAATCAGAGCGGCATTCAAACACTTATATCCACTCTGTGACAAAGCCTTCGTGCTAAAAGGATCTCACTGACCCGATTAGACGAAATAACCTAATCTGCAAAATGCTTCATAATAACTTTTAGGTCAGCTACACAAGTCGATACAGCGAGTCAGAGACAATTAGGTTTTCAGAGCATAGGAATTTAACTAAACATTGGATGACTAACTCTGGACAATTAGAAAATTAAAGAAAGGTTGAGTAGTTACAATGGACATATTAACTCATAATCACATAGCAGGATGAGGTAGAGTCACAGTTTTAAAAGGTAACATAACTAGTTGGAAGTGAAGGTTGGTCACCGGTATTTTGTTTTTAGGGTTGACACCAAACACGAACAGTAAGGATAACTTGACACTAATACCAGTATTTTAAAAGCAATATAATGAGTGGATAAAAATCATCAGAACTGTGTAAACAAATCTGAGAGTTCATATGAACTGTGATCAGGATTTGACCGAATAGTTCCAAAATAATTGAGCGCCGAATAAGAAGTAGACATTTGTAAAATCCCAGCGAAATTGAAATAATTAATTCCAACGTGTCGTTCGGCAATCTGGTCCGAACTTCGCCAGGGAGATTAATCGAAACTAGCATAACAGAGATTTATATATAATCTGAGAGTTACAGGAATACCTTGATGTGATTATGAGCAATGAATTTTGTTTAATATTTAATTAGTATCACTATGTTATATCGAACAAGTCATTTCATTTTGGAACCGTCCAAAGTACATGTTTTGTAGTTAGATATTGGTGAATAACGTAATGCACTGTAGGTTTTTATCTCCCTGAAAGCATAATATTATCCTTTACCAATAAGCGTTTGCTTAAGGTTACGAATGTTTTATTCCTTACTTTAGCACAATAAGCAGATTTTGCTGTGATCTAATGAGGATTATTTGATTTTTAATCAACTTATTTATGTTTCTGTGAGGATTTCGTGCGGAGAAAGACATTCAAAATAAACGAAAAAAGTATTAAACGTGGCTTGTTTAGATCCGAAATGAAATACTTTGCGAAATTTTGAAAAAGAGAATGATCGAAATATGAGATAGATGCAGATGGACGAGTGTACAAAAATTTAAGGTTTAAGAGTGAATAACTGTATAAAATTTATTTTATAAAGTGTCCAGTCATCAGGTCCATCCTACCTCAAGGACTTTTGTGAAGGAGCTAACACTTTCATACAGAGATAAGATTGGTAAGTGAGAGATAATTTTTAGCTTACTGTGGTAAACTGTGAATGTCATCTTGTGTGGAAAATGATAATATTTCCATAGCAAGGTCTCGGTGGACAAGATGGGAACTAAACTTATAAAACTGCTAGTTTAAGCCAGACTAACGTAACAATTGAACCTTCTCCACATTCACGTATTGTCCATAACTTGAACAGAAGTTTTTGCATTATATGGTTTCTAAAGATATTTTCTTATTAAATTTCAGGGGATCACTTCCGTAGTCATCGCAAGAATCTTCCTGTACCGACTTTAAGTCTGGTGAATCATGATCATCCCGGAAGACCAAATATGGATGGTGGTTGTTGGTTTCCTAATTGCTTTCGTTCTTGCCTTTGGAATTGGTGCGAACGATGTGGCGAATTCATTTGGAACCAGCGTTGGCGCTAAAGTACTCACATTGAAACAAGCTTGTTTTCTCGCTACAGTCTGTGAACTAAGTGGTTCCGTTCTTTTGGGTAATGTCTGTAAAATGATACATAAGTGTTCTTATTATTCTTAGGTGCCAAAGTTTCCAATACAATACGGAAAGGTATTGTCAGCGTTGAGCTTTTTGGTGAGATTGAGAACGGACATGTGGTTTTAATGGCTGGGCAAGTTGCTGCTTTAGGAGGTGAGTATATAAGCACTATATTCTCTTTGATTTGAAACACTAGCCAGTTGTTCACGCATTCTATCTAAAGTGTTTCTGCATCTCTTCAGACAGTGATCTGATACTGTTTATCTGTATCCTCGTGATAAATATACAACTTCCTCTTTGTAAAACAATAAACTGAGGCGGAAATATTCTTTTCATACTTAGTAACCAGTTTAAAACTCATATGTGATATGCTTTATAACTTATTTTATGAATTTACAACCAGTAATTAAGTTTTATTTAATTTTGCGTGGTTAAACACCTTCGTGGCAGTTTTATTTAGCTTAGATCTCTGTCACTTAGATTTGAACTTCTCGCAAATGATGGCAGTGGAAAAAGGTAGCAACCTTCAAACAATGTATATTTATATTTTTGACCCTTTGCACGATCCAGTTGGTCTTCTCGACTTTTATGGAACAATTAACATGCTCTGTAAAAATAGGCAGAATTTTTTTCACTAAAAATTATCTCCTCATTCTTCAGGTTCCTGCATTTGGCTTCTAATCGCCACATTCTTTCGTCTTCCGGTTTCGGGCACTCACAGTATTGTCGGTGCTACAATGGGTTTCAGTCTTGTTATCTTTGGACTGAATGCTATTCACTGGCAGGGGCTTCTAAAAATCGGTAAGCGACATTTTTGGTGTTATTCTCGTATAATTGTACTTGGCATACAGTATTATTATTATTCCCTTAGGCTCCGAGTGAAACATAGGGCTTCAACAGATCATCTCCACTTTGTTATACTCTTTGTTTTCCTGTTCACCTGAGTACTCGATTGCCTATAATCTCTGATCTCCTCTTCTCACGATCTCCTCCATGTCACCCTCGCACCAACGACCCACTCGTTGCTTCCCATTCGGGCTCCACTTGAGCAATGGCCTACATTGCTCACAATGTCACTCAACAGCCTCCACAACGCATGCCCGGTCCATCTCCATTTTCTCTTACATATTTGTTGAGCTATTGGCTCTTAGTTGGTGTGTTGCCAGCCAGAGTTTCTTGTTGCTAATTCTTTCTGACCGGTCAGCTGGCCGTTCAGTGTTCAGTTTGGAGTCAGTCAGCGAATCTGACAGCTATTGATAATAGTCTACAGTAGCCTGTTGGAAATCCTTTTCGTGACACTCAGTGGAAGTTTCCGACCCATACAGAAGAACTAACTGACTTCACATTTGTGTTGAAAATCCAAATAATAATAATAATATTGTATGTGGAAGTTGTCAAAAGTTTTAATAACAAGTTCGTTTGTTAAGTTTAACTTGACTGAGGAAGAGAATTAGGCAGAAAAACAATTGCATTCAATACATATATATTATGATTTTTTCCTCTCTTTCCCAGAGCTTTGGCTGTGTGTGTGTGTGTGTGTGTGAAGGATTACTTTTAATCCCATTCAAAAGGTTCTAGGGAATGTGATAAATAACTCTGAAAGTGTTCAGTTTTTATATAGTGTGATTCTTATCAAATAAATGAAACAAGACTGAGCTGTATATTGATTTTACTGAACCTTCTTGCATCTAATTTGTCTGGTTGTTTGCCTCACATAACCGCCTCCACGGAATCAGCCAAAATTGTAACTGCGAATAGAAATGGTGAAGTAGGTGAGCACTTTCCGGAGTACCTAAGTTTCCTCAAGATCTTAAATAAATTTTTGCCAATGAATGATCAAAATTTCTAAAGGCCTGCCACAATAAAATTGATTAAAACAGATGTCTACGAAAAACATCCATATCACAAAAATGGATACAAATCTGGTCTAAATACTGAGAGCTAAATCTGAAGTTGCTTTTTCCTTCTGATGACTAGTTGTTTCCGTTTCTAGATGTTTGAAAAAATATACTGGTAAAATTAATTTTACTTGTGGTTGCTAAAGAATCGGCAGTCAGTATTGGTTAGAGCCTACTACGTTCTTCTTGAACTAGCTAATTCGCAGATATGCAGTTTTGTATACATCTCAGTGGAGCAGTCTACTGTGGTCCTGTGCACGCAGTGCTAGACTCCTTATTATATTTTTAGAGTTCTAGAGATTTCGATAGATTTTCTTGTTATGTTAATCCTTCTTCTTCTCACGACTATTTTTGTTACGACTCAGCATTATGTTCTCACGGTTCACTCTCTGTTAACTCTGTTGTGAATAACTTTAATCGTAAATTTTATGCCCAACTGGGCATCGTTTCATGCCAGTTTGCCTATTTCTTTTGATTACTTTTTAATAAACGCACAGTAGTGGGACTCAGAAGAGATGGTCTCACAAACTTGAGCATTATTTTGCTGTGACTATTAATTTGCTTTATCCCAAAACAGTACTTTTGATACAGCATGGAATTTTCAGCATTTGGTACAATATTTCATCTGATTTACTCAAAAAAATCATTATATGTTAGTAGGTAACCAAAATTGATGATAACAACCCTTTTGGCATTAGCAGTAACAATAGATTCAAAAATGTACAAATAATATAAAATGATAATACTAGTAAAATTTAAAATAGTGTCACCATAAATTACAAATAGGAGAAGAACAACGAGCCATTTATTTTGCTAATTGCATAGTAAGTTATAAGTCTCTAGCTTAACACGATCTCTGTCACATAGAACGCGAGTGAGCTTAATTGGGTATCGTTGAGTTGTTATACTTATCTGTGTGAGTTACCGTCTAATCTTTTATAATGGCTTTTAGTCCTACGTGGTGAGATGCAAGGCGGGGAGATTTGTAAATAGAGAGAGAGAGAGTTAGACAATATGGATTTAGGCCATTTCTCACATGAGTTCAGATGTTTGTCGACTACAGTAGTAACTAGCTGACTTAGTGGCACACTACCTGTCCTACAAAAGAAAACGTTTAAAATCCTTTGCAGTATGATATAGTCCTTTTTGATGAGTAGCCCAGGATAGACTAACAAGGGAGCAACAAACAACAATAGGTGACATGCAAAAGTAGGGGTTGCGGGATTCCTGATTGTCTTAACTTCTTAATGTGTAGTAGGTTAGACGGAACATTTTCTTAGAAATTGACAAGATGTAGGATGACGAAGAAAGGTCAGAGGAAGGAACTATTCTAAGGTATTTAATACTTGACTTAGTTTCTATTTCAAAGTGCTACAAGCATCTTGTAAGCAAACAAGTTCATATATATCACATTTATGCATAAAGATGAAGTTAACTGTCCGATATTTGGAGGAATTTAACGTGAAACTGCGGTAGCTTTTGTAGATCAGATGGTAAAAGGACTTATGCTGGTGAGTGCAAATGAAATTTCTACTATCTCTGGATTAAAAGTGTTCACTGAACACTCATCTATTTCGTTTTTATTATTATGTTTAATCACTTCTCCTTTTCCATTTACTTCTTACTCAGTTTTTTTTTGTAATATGAAAAAGTGTAAAATCATTTCAATCATATTCTAAACTATACCGTTTCGTTTTGTTCATCATACGTATATATATGTCATTATAATGCTGTATCAACTTGTTAGCAGATTATATTTTACTTCAAAGCAGACATCAAAACTAGGTGATTAGGCTTATAACAAATTTGTACAAGTTAGCTGACATATGATGGCGCTCTGTAAATCCTGCCACATTAATGGGTGTTACATGATGTAGATGCTAAATGAAACTAACCATTAGATAAGTAGTTTTTGATTTCCTCTTATTTATTGAGCATCATAATGCATTTTGTGTCGAATATTAAACAAGGTCGATACTATTGTTATAATTATCATTGCTATTACTGCTATGGTCTGTTAGCTATTGATCATTACTGATTTCATATTGCAACTTACTTGGTAGTAATTCCGCATTTAAATTATGGATCAATACTCAGTTAGACGTCAAATATATATACATATAATATTGTTTTCCCGTTGGGTTTCGAGTGGAACATAGGGCTTTAACGGCACATCTCCACAATGTCCTGTTCTCTGCGGTCCTTTTCAGCTGGTCCGATGATCGCCCACAGTCTCTCACTTCCTCCTCACACGATCTCCTCCATGTCACCCTCGGAAATAAACCCAACTCGTCGTTTCCCACTCAGGTTCCACTCGAACGATAGTCTGGCGCTCAATGGTCTCCTCACCCCGTGTCCTATCCATTTCCATATTCTCTACCCTTATTTTCTAAGCAACAGGTCCTTAATTGGTTCGTACGTTGTCAGAGTTCCTTGTTACTAATTCTTTCTGGCCGGCCATTTGATCTTCAATATGGAATAAAGGCAGTTCCTGGTAAAAGTGTGCGGCCAACAGTTGGAAATGGTTTCCGTAACTCACGCGCCAAGTTTCTGACCCATATAGAAGCTTCCACTGACTTGTTATTGGTTTTGAGAATCGGGATTTTGTTGCATATGCTGAGTGTAGTGCAGGCGATTTCCACACTGATTTCAGAGAGATAAAGGTCTGTCCTGCCTTTCCAATACTGGTTTTAATATTCTCATCTGTTCCTCCCGTAGTTGAAAAAAAGATGCCTAGTTTTATTGTTTTTCTCTTTCTGTTGAACCAATATTTTACTGCTCTCATTTCGTAATGCTTCATACTACTCACATTTGAGAAACTGGCCCGGTTTTCTACTATTTTTGGCCTAATCTTAATGTGCATGTGTATGTGTTTCTTGGGTTAAAATGCTAATCCGGCATGGAATTTTTCGGAGACCTGACTTTAATCATTCACTAGTCGGATGGGACTCAACAAACAGGATGTGAAGACAAATACTCGTTGACTACACTAAAAAAACTCCTACCTTGAGAAGAATAGAATAGAAATATCTTATGGTCACCTTCCAGCAAAATCGGATATCCACGAAACGTCATCAAAATATGCCTACCCTCAGCCAAACCGACCAATTGGAAATCATACAAAAAATTCAAAGGAAAATCGTCTTGCCACATGTGAAAAATATTGCTTAAATTTCTGCCAGGATATCGAAATCTTTTGGAACAGATGTCACTCTCAAATCAACATAATCACTGCATTTCTCATTATCGTCGACCAAAAGACTGAACAATGAAAGAAGATAAAAAACATCTGTAAGACATATTGCGTCAACTGCATTAGACGCTATACTGACCAAAGGTGACTTCACTTTCATCTTCGCATTTGCGAGCGCCGATTAGAAGTTCAAAGACATGGCATGCGTTTCCTCATATGAGTGCATGTGGATAGCTTCGGTTAGCAAGTCGACTCTTAAACAGAGAAAACATGAAAAATGCCGAAGAATTCCCGAAAGTCTTGTGACCAGATTTATTCACAATTAACGGATATGTGGATATTAGTCAAATTTATCTATGAAGAAAGACTAAATCACACGATAAAAAAAGTCGAAAATCAGGTCAACTAGACGGTCAGTATCAACGCAGATGAATACAGGGCTAAGAAAATCTCCGAAGACAATCATAATAAGTCCTTGATATGACAGGATCGTGGTATGCTTAATACGTGTAGGCTGTCAGGCTGCAAGGACACATGCAATATAACTGATTCCAGTAGGTTTCGAAAGTGGTGAGAAGCGAAATCAGCTCAAACGTAAGCTGATTAACAGTTTTCACGACGAATGCTAATAGTGGAAAGGCATCAGATTCGGGTAATAAATGTCAACAGTTTAGGCTTATTAGGAAAATGGGGTTTGAAAAACCTATGGCAAGTAAAGTGATTGCCTAGGAGCATAGAAATTCGACTACTTTACAGGGAAGACGTCAAGCTATATACACTGAAAACCTGTTTAACTGGCTCGCGCATGCACTACAGCTACCCACTATTCAATCTCTTATGGTGATCTTGCGGGGGGGGGAGATCAGCATGATTTATGTAGTATTCAAGATTTGAGGTTCCACAATACTGTGGAGACCAAGTGACGTTTCGGATAAACGAACTCAAGAAAACCACGCAGGTTTCAGGCTCCTATTAAAATGAAAGTCTGGAGCACAGGAATATTTACCGAAATTGGGAACCTGACATATTTCTTGATCTGAAGGTGGCGTTTGACTTCGAAAGGTAATCTGTAAGTGTCTGGATGTGTAGGAAGTGTCAAGAAACTGTATTGTATTACTCAAAGCACTTTATTGAGACTCGTTCAGTTGTGTAGGGACTTAGGGAGAGTCTTCATCTAAAATGACGACAATCAGTTTCTTTTTTTCCGCAGGTGATACTCATTTTCATAATTATTTATTTATACGTGTACTAGTGTGTGTTCTGCACAGTGGTTGCCTCCATCCTTCCCTACGGTTGTGAGCCATGGCCATAGAAATTAGTAGATATGAAGAAGCCAATTGTTTTTCATCGTAGGTGTCTGCCTGTAGTTTGTCGAGTTGGGTTGTGTAATATGGTTAGTAATCATGAGGTTTGACGTAGAGAAGTGTTAGGTAAAGAATAAGAGAGTTCATCGATGAGGTTGTGAAGTGCCGTTGACTGATATAGCTAGGATCTATATTACACATACCGAGTGATTTCGTTCCTCGACGGGTAGTGTTATGTGATATAGGGTCAAATTGGGAAATGCTTACGAACAGTTGAATGCAAACGGTGACACGTTACGAAGTGCAGATTTGTATTCTGTTGGTGACATGGTACGAAATAGTTTGTAATGACACAGGAGTATTCACTCCCTTTTTTATCATCCAAATTCTACAAATCCTCACTGACCTTTATCTGTTTTCTCTCTCTCTTTCGTGCATCTTCCAGTGTAATTCCATCAAGTTTTTTCCCTCACTTTTATGTGTGGTTTCCGTTTGAATGGCAATAATTTCGCATCACTTTTTGTCTAAAAACTCAAAGTTTTGTAAGCGAATGTTGTTGTCAGTCATAAATTTGTAAAAATCAATTTCACCATAATAAAAATATGCCACTACAAATTGATTTCCGAATAGTGATTGTCCAGTGTAGTGTATGCTGATCGAAATCTATCGATCTGGTGTGAAATGTGGTCATTAGACCAAATGACATAATATGGCTGTACACTATGTAGTGCACATTTTGTTACAGTGTTAAATTAATTTTCAGTTACTGGGCCGGGGGGGGGGGGCTTGGATGTCCTAATCATAATCTTGTTAATGAGGGCTATTGTGCACGAAATCTGAATTTAAAACTTACTATCTATATAAATCCATTTTGATAGCAATATGAAAATTAGCAGGCAGCGACAGAGTTAGTTTGTCGGGATTTGATTTGTTTTTTAAGTTTGACCACGAATTGATATCAGTTAGAGAACCATTGAAAACCAACAGGGAGTACTGGATGGCTGTTTCGCCCCAGTTTGGAGCTCTCCATAAGTGCGCACCCATGAGGGTACGAACCTAGGACCTTCAGGTTAGAAGGAAAGCTCGTAGACTAGTCAATATCCCATAAATTCTAACTTCTATCAATTCGTGATTTTAGCGCGATTGGTGCCATACAATGTCAGTGTTGGCGAGAATTCGTCCTCACTCCCGACCGAGTGGACCTCACTGGTCACGAATTCTGGCTACAGGATGAAGTTGTCTAGAGTTCTAGTGAGAAGGTCGTGACCAGTGGAGTCCATTCTGCCGGGTGTGAGGACAAATACTCATAGATCACATTGGCTTGTGGATGCGTTAAAATCAGGAATTGGTAGATATCAGAATTCATGGGACATTGATTTAGGTTCCAGTGTAACGAGAGATGATAAGAGACTTGGTAAAGAAATGTTTATTAGTAATTTGATGTGTACATTGAGGGAAATTATGTATACCTTATATTAAAATAGTCATTTACGAAGACCCTTTCGTATTGTACTACTTCCGCCCTTCGTATTGTGTTTCTTTGTCTCCTTTTTGTGTCTCCAATGTTTTGGCGCAACACTGGTTCATTCACTCTCTTTGGCGTCAAGTCTATCATCTACGTGCCGATGAACGTCTCTTTATATACTACCGCTAAATCTTGTCAACAACATACACTACACCAGTGGCTGAATTGTATATGAGCTTTCCTTGTAACTGGACGGTCCTGTGTATGCTCTTCCAATGAGTCTGAAGCACTAGGACAGCACCAAAACAACTGTCCAGATAACTTTCAGTCAACTTCTTGAATATGCAAATATCTGTCGCTTCTAGTGTATGCTATATTTCCCTCGGTTGATATTTGTTCGCCTGAAATTTAAATATACATTTTTTTGTTTGTATTTTTCATGCATATTAATTTGTTGTCTTTTCATTGTTCACATGAGCGTGTTTTTTGTTTTTAAAATCGTTTACAACGTGTAGAGATAAAACTAAGCGGCAAATAAAACAGCAAAACAAAAAATATCCTGTTGTGTTTTTTTCTACTTGTCTCTTGTTTCTACTGTTCTCGTTCGGAATGAAATAAAAACGTTCAAGTAAATACAATGCTGCTTAGCTAGCTAGCTAGCTAGAGCTTATAGTCATGAAATTCTAATGTAATATTAGCAATAACTTATCAATAAAACAGGCTTCATGAATTGAATTATTCTAAGTCTTATAAACTCTTCACTTTTACTATTGAAAAGTTAACTAATCTTGTTACCGTTTTGCATAAACTATCGCATATTGTATACACATTTTTTAATAAAAAAACCCTTTTATATTCGAATAAGCTGTTGGTAGCGGTTTCATTCAGAGTCAAGTGAACCTTTAACTTTCAAAAGCGTAGTAGCAGTAGTAGTAGTAGTTATATATGTGCTGTCTACCTCCAATTGGTGAATTTCTAAGTTTATTCATTATTCAAAAGAAAAGTGCTTTAGAACAAACCTCATGAATTTATTTATATTATATTATTATTTCATTGGGTTCCAAGTGGAGCGTACGACTTTAACAACACATCCCCACTTTGTTCTATCCTCTGCCGTCCTCTTCAACTGGGTCCACGATTGACAATAATCTCTCATCTCCTCATTCTTACACGATCTCCTCCATATCACCCTCCCATCAACGACCCACTCGAACGGTAACCTGCATTGCGCGCAATGTCATTCGATAGCCTCCTCAATGTATGCCCGATGCGTCTCCATTTTTTCCTACATATTTGTTGAGCAATAGGTCCTTGATTGGTTCGTGCATTGCCAGCCAGAGTTTCTTGTTGCTAATTCTTTCTGGCTGGCTGGTTATTTGATGTTCAGTATGGAGTTAGTCAGCGAAGTTGGCAGCTGTTGATAAAAGTCTGTCACTTTCTGGAAATCCTTTTCGTGACACGCTAGCCAAGTTTCTGAATTCATGTCCTATTCTCAGTAAAAGAAGCCCAATAATTTAGTTGTGGTGTGTCTTTGACTCAACTAACTGACATCATTCTTGTCAGTAGGTGCATTTTAATTCTTGCAAGCGGTCAGCTAAAGTTATCTTGCCTAATGCCGAACATCTTTTTCGCTGCTAGCAACTTTTTCCTTTTACCTCTTCTGGTAATAGAAGAAGAAGAAGAAATTTCATAAGAATTTATGCTCACACGGCCAGCAAATAGAAAAATTGAACCATACCAATAATTTAGCACTGGTTTTGTGTGAAAAGATAAATATCACAAAAGAGTTTATAAACTATTCAAATCAGTGAATCAACAGCAAATTATGACAAGAATCATTGCACTCGCTGAGGAGGCCGCTGGATGACATCGCGCGTCAGGCCATAGCTCGAGTGGAACGCGAAAGGGAAGCGGCGAGTGGGACGTCCAAGAGTGACATGGAGGAGATCGTGTGAAGAGGAGTTGAAACAGTATGGACTAACATGGATGCAAGTGAAAAATACAGCAGAAGACAGAAGCAAGTGGAGACGTGCAGTTGAAGCCCTATGTTCCACTAGGAACCCAAAGGAACAATAATAATAATAAACTACTGACTTGAAGCTTTTGTCGTTTTAATATTTTTACTTATTTATGAATTTATATATTTATAAAAGGGGCTACATTATTGTGCATATTTAAAAAACGCTGAAAATGCCATTCTGTATAATAGTAATAATTATTATTGTTTGGAATAAAGTGATTATATTATATTATTTGCAATTAGTAGTGTTCTCTGAGCTGGTTGGTTTAGTTGCGGGGCTTTCATCGTCCTTCTGGACAACATCTTCAGAGCAATATTTTTAGCATAAAGTGAACTGATTTAAATTTTGCATGAGTGGTAGAGTTGCGTCTCCCGGTAACCATCTTTATGCTCCTCAGCTAAACCAAGCAGCTCAGAGAACACTACTAACTGGAAATCATCCACCTGAGCTACAAATCTTCTCTATTATATATATATATACTGATTTCCTCACCTTATTTTATTGATTTTTTTGTTTTTATTCATTCCTATTCACAGTTGGATCATGGTTCCTTTCACCTGTCCTAAGTGGTTTAGCATCTATCGGTGTGTTTTTCCTCATGCGTTTCCTGGTGCTCAGAAAAGTGAGTTTTCAATATGTATATATATAATATGCTTAAAAGCACTAATCGTAAAGTTTTGGCTTGTGGTTGAGACTTTTTTTTAAATGTAAAAATAACTCACTGTAAGTTACAATCACTGATGTTTCCTAAGGAAGAACTTAGAGTCCTTAAAAATGGTTTATTAAATGTCCGTTTCTTTTTCCATTGCTTATATCTTATAATATGGCAATTTCTAACTCACATTTAAGAAAAATGTATAACTAGCTTTGGATGCGACTCCAATTTTTTTTAATTACAGTTTTCCTGAAATTCGTTCAACTTGATGTGCAGATATTAGAATGTGAAACTTAACATACTAATATTGGATTACATGTATGTTCATACTTTTACATCATCCTTCTCTGGACTCAAACACAACCCGAATGCCTTTTACCTGTATAGAGAAAGCGCCATCTATTCCAGCATACTTGCATCACGTTAAGATGTTAAGTAAACTGATCGTGGGGTCGTTTACGAGCTGATATCAGTTAGAAAACAATTGAAAAATGCCGGAAAGTTGTTTCGTCCTAGTTTATGACTCTTCATCAGTGCGCACCCAACGGAGTTCGAATGCGGGACAAGCTCGTAGACCATTCAGCCGCTGTGACGCTAATCCAATATGACCTATGAATTCCAACTTCTGCGAATTCGTAATTTATTGAGTGTACTGCTGAAGAGTCCCAAACTAGGATGAAACAGCTGTCAAGTATACTCCCTACTAGTTTTTTAATAGTTCTCTAATTTATATCACCTCGTGATTAAACCTGTGAGCAATTAAAACCCCAGAAACCAACACCTTGGAATGATCGGCTCACAGGTTACCTTAGTGACTAATCCAAGATACGACGAATAAAATTAATGCTTATTTGATAAAATACAACACTAAACTAACAGTTTTATTCCACACCAAATGCAATACTTAGCAGTCTCATATGTTGACCTTGATTAGTTGTAGAGATATTTTGCCAACTGTAGAGACACCTATTGTATACAAAATGCAATGCAGTGTATCGACCAGTCACTTGACTTATTACAAATATGTCATAATGTAACCTTGAAAGTGTGTTTGAAGCTGGACTATGAAATGTAACCCTGATAAATATAACTTTTTTTTGTCTACTGATTCATACATATATTATGATTTGACACAACGAATACTTTAGCTAGTGATATTGATCCGTTGTATGAGAATAGCTTTAACAGCATAGTTTGAATTCGCATTGTTTCAGTAGTGTCTTATCTGTACTGCAAATAATCATCATAAGCATATAAGCTCATTCAGTAAATGACAGTTGGAGGATACAAATGGGTCTATTTGTAAACGTGTGGCTATAGGAGTTATCCTTCATTTGAGCGGGCTTTAATGACATAGATATGCCACAGGAAGGCACTCTCTAATTATAAAATGATCTAAAATATGTTTAGTAACATGGCAGTATGATATAAGAATCAATAACTGGAGCCTCTTAGCAATGAAATAGTTCACTGTCATTGACAGTAGAGGAGGTTGGTTACAGATGACTTAGAATGGAGGCTTTTCATGAGATGATTTTCTCTCCAGCACTCACATCTGACCGATACACTGTCATCTCTACATTTCTATTCTCTTCTTCTATCGAAGTGCGGCAATATAAACTTCGCAAAACTGCATTTCTGTGCTAAATTATACTTTGATTCGTTAATCAATCGGTTAAATGTTTTGCACAAATAAGACTAATATATGTGAAAGTCTTAATACCTATCGGATGCAACAATGAATTTTATAAAATTAACCTCAATTAAGCTCGACTAAATTACCGATTTTTTTATTCCATCAGGTGAAGAATATTCATAGGTGATTCATACAAGATTCGGCAAAGATAGCTAAAAAATTACATAAACTGAGATCTACAAAACTCGTTTGATTAGCAATAGGAATAATAAAAGATACAATTAAAATGATAAAATGAACAGTTAATAAAGGTAATAGTTGCTTCCTGTAGTGTATGGATTTTCGTACCTGCTCACTACTGTAGAAAATCGTGACTTTTAAATGTAGTATTATGTATTAGTTACGTAATTCATTGCTGCACTACCAATAAGCAACCTGGTACGGCCGAGAGTGGTTAGACTTCAGTCTTACCCTCTGCCAGAGAATTCCTATTCACTGCCTTCACGTGGTGGAGGTGTTCACTGCAAAAGTGAAAATGCGAGCGTGAACGTCTGGCACTTAAAACCAGACTGGTAGACTTGCAGTGAAAAATCTTGATTCTAAACTTAAGGATCGAATAGCGTATGAACCTGTTTTGGTCGCAGGCCACACTGCTTCACTGTCTTGTAGATCAGACTTCAAGCCGAAAGCTCGGAAGTTGGCACTTGCTTCTATCTGTGTATCGGGGCAATACTTTAGCCGTTACACAAACTAATGAGACTTTAGTGAGACGCATCTATCGGTACCCATCACGTTTCAAGCTTCTCTTATAATAAATAATAGCTAAAATCTGGAGATGTAGACGCTTCTGTACATTCTAGACAGTCTTATATTTGTTCTATTCGCACATTTATTTAAAAACATCACTTTGAACTAATTATATCTGTAGTTTAGCCAAAAAATATTCGAGAAAACAGAAAGATTGAGCGAAGAAATATTTACTTTTCAATCTTTCTGTTTTCTCAAATGTCTAAATGGGGATATTTTCTATATTGAAACAAAAAATATTCGTCTAAATATAAATGATGACTGCAATACAAACATGATTTCCAGCATTAAATAGTTTTCTGTCATATGCCGCGCTATTTATAACATTTACGGTACACCCGAAGACAATACATTTTATAAATAGATAGTGATGCTCACATAAAATGGCGTTCAACATCAAGCAGTAGCTTTCAAGCATTTTTATTTCGCGCTGAATATGCTATAAGATTATTTTGCTTTATAACTATACTAGCAACTTGAACAAAATTCAGCACTTCATTCGAATATAAATTCACTACATTGCCATTTTCACCCATTAGTCACTGTGGGCATATGATTTGTGGTCATATTCTGCGCATGTGATGACCAATGTGATATTTATATATTTGCATAGTCTGTTTTACAAGTTGGCATTTCAACATTTGTCGTGATCTATCTTTCAACTATGTCTAAATTTATCTTAACCACTTAACGTCTACAGTTAGTTGTTCCATCTCCTTTGTGTGAAATGACTTTTACATATACATACATCATATCCTGAAAAAAAATAATGATTTAGTGACACGGTAGTAACGATGCTTCTGTGAGATCGATCTGCACATAAAATTCGATTGTCTGCTGGTTAGATTAACCCGAATTATTAATTTAAGGGGCAACAGAAATGCAGTTTGTGTGTCTGTTAATCTACAACATTATCCAGGCCTGTGATTCATAAGTTAACAAGCGTATATCATTTTCAAAACAGTGGACATGTGCCACTAAACGAGAAACACTGACTCCTTCGCTGAACGAGCCCTTCTGATTTTGTTTGCTTGAAGTTAAATAACTTTCGTTGGACAAAAGAGTAAAAGATAGAACATTACAGAGTGACAGTGATATACTTCTGTGACTAAAGTGAGTAAAAGTCGAGGATCATTTCGATATATATGTGTTATTGATTATTATTCCCTTGGGTTCCGGGTGGAACATAGGGGGCTTCAACATCACATCTCCATTTCTCTTGTTCTCTATAGTACTCTTTAACTGGCCCCACGAGTGTTCATAAGCTTTCATTTCCTCCTCGTCGCACGATCTCCCCCGTGTCACCCTCAGACATAAACTCAACTCGGCGTTTCCCATTAGCGCTTCACTCGAGGGGCCAGGCGAGCGATGTCATTCAACTGTCTTCTCAGCATGTGTTTTATCCATTTTCTTCGGATTATTTGTTGAGCAGTAGGTTCCTGATTAGTTCCTTACCAGAGTTTATTGTTTCTAATTCTTTTTGCCACTCTGGTCTTCAGTATCGAGCCAGTGATGACAGTTGTCTATGAAAGCCTATACCAGTCTGTTGGAAACACTTTTCCTGACGCCCAAGCCAAGTTTCTGACATATGTAGAAGAACTGATTTAACACTGGTGTTTAAAATCCGAATCTTCTGACATCCTCATCAGTGCTGTCACCTGTACTTGAAACGTTGCTTCTTAGATAAGTGAAGGAAGTGACACCCCTTTCAAGTTTATTCCGTTGACGGGGACTGGTACTTGTTGTTGTTTGTTGGTTTGCTTCACCACCTCTGTTTCCTTTTTATTCACTTGAAGTCCCGTCCTCGCAGGCAGCTTTTGTCAATTTATTGGGTTTTTGGAATTTATGTGACATTAGATATAAATCATCCGTAGAGTCCAGATCTTCTAGATGTATGTCGTGGACAACGGATATCCAATCACATGAATCAACAGATATGGAAAATCGCCTAATAGAAGCCTGAATCGAACCACAATCTCTGCATAACTTGTATTCATTCAGCTAACAGATTATTAAGAAGAGAAGACTTTAGGCTTATATTAGTTCTTCCGATTCAATGTACAGCAGAAATCTGATCTTGTTTGGAATAAATTCACAGAAGTTAGTGAAAGAATGTGTTCCGTTTGAAAATTCCGCCGCTCCATAGTTCAATGAGTGAAACTTAATTTTGGAAGTAGATAATTCGTCACTGGTTTTTTAAACTTTAAGTTAGTGTTCTCGTCAGTGGTTGGGACAAATAAGTACCCAAATCACTGCATAAAACACTGAATGCTAACTTGAGGCTATCTCTCAGCCATCGATATTACAGTAAGAGTTACTTAGTGAATTTACTCCCCGTTTTTTAAACTTTTCTTTTCAAATATGTCTTCTTCCCACCCCATATTTCAAATGAGGTGTGCCATAGGTTTGGTAAATTGGCATCTTTCCTATATTACCTTCAGTTGATACAATATCAAAGAAGAGGTAAGGGTCGGTTTAATTCTTCTGAACAGATTCCAAAGAGCCTGCAATTATGAGTAGAATC